GCTTTGGAGCTGTAAGATGATTGTTGAGTTGAGTTTTACCCCTGTCTAGGATTCCTTTAAAAATGCTAAATACTGGCTGAATTATATTTTACCTTTGTAAAATGCAAAGTGTACATTTGCCTGATGTTCCACCCAGGCCAGGCAACAAGGATTACATTGTTTGATTGTATAGTCAGCTGTACTGTTCCTGTCACTGTTGTGCAGCAGGGCTGCAGAAGCACTTCATGAATAACACTTCTGCTGTGCTGCTACCCTGTTTCCCAAAAATAAGACCTAACCTGAAAATAAGCCTAAGTACAGTGGTGCCCCACTTGACTACGATAATGCGTTCAAGGCAAATTGCTGTTAAGTGAAATCGTCGTCAAGCGAGGAAAAAACCCCCATTGAAATGCATTGAAAACCGATCAATGCGTTCCAATGGGGAAATACCTGCTCGTCCAGTGAAGATCCTCCATAGGGGAAGCCATTTTGCATCGCTGTCCTCCGGAAATAGGTCCGGAAAACAGAGGGGATCCATTTTGAAAACCTGACGATCAGTTGTTTTTAATCATTGTAATGCGAAAAACCGGTTCCCGAAGCAGGGAAGCGATCCTCGTAAAATGAAAAAAAACCATTGAATCATCGTTTTGCAATCGCTATAGCGATCGCAAAAACCTTATCGTCAAGTGATTTCATCGTCAAACTGAGTAATCGTCAAGCGGGGCACCACTGTATGATTTTTCAGGATGCTTGTAAAATAAGCCCTACTTCAAAAATAAGCCCCAGTTAAGTGAAACCCCACCCTTCGCCATTGTGCAGCAAGCAGAAGAGATGACTATATTTGAATGAAATTAGATGTTTGTACATGAAAAAAATAAAACATCCCCTGAAAATAAGTCCTAATGTGTTTTTGGAGCAAAAATTAATATAAGACCCTGTCTTATTTTGGGGAAAACACGGTACTTGCTGAGCCAGTTCTACAGCTTCATATTATGCATGTAGAGCTGCACAACGGGATTTCAGACAGCGATTCTTACCTATGGAAAAATCCAACATGATTTGATGTGAACTTTGGAGGACATTTCAGTGTTGTTGTTGTTCTCATTCTTGTTCTTGTTGTTATCTATATCCTGTTTTCCTCCTAGTAGGATTAAGGCAGCATACATGTTTCTCTCCCACCCCAATCACCATAAGTCTTGTTAAGTAGTCTAGAGACTACAGTATTTCTGCCCTAAAGCCAATCACCATAAGTCTTGTTAAGTAGTCTCATTCTAGAGACTATTCCTGCCCTAAACTCACCCAAAGAGTTTTGTGAGGGAGAGGTGGGAACTCACACCTCCAAAGTCCTAAACCAATGCTCTTACCAAAACACCACTCTAGTCTTGTCCTTTATTTTAAAGTGACAAGAGTTTAAAAGGAAGTATCAAGGATTTAGGACTCTTTTTCATGAAGGAAGAGCAGTAGCAACCCACTGTAGTTAGTGTTGTAGTCATCTTTAACTCTGGTTTTCAGCTTATCTGTTTGTTCTAGTGACCTTTATTACAGTTCCTACTGTGCTGCTAACAAACCCTATACTTGGACAGATCTCTCAGTTTTAATTTTTCCTCTTTGTATTTCAGTACAGTGGGGTCTTGACTTGAGAACTTAATCCGTATTGGAAGGCGGTTCTCAAGTCAAAAAGTTCTCAGGTCAAATCTGCATTTCCCATAGGAATGCATTGAAAACCATTTGATCCGTATCTGCTCTTTTCCGTCCATAGAAACTAATGGGAAGCTGCTATTCCGCCTTCGACCACTAGAGGGGGATGTTTTGTTTCTTTTTTTCTTAGGTCAAGAAAGGTTCAGGGAAGGCAGGGAAAATACAGTCCAGGCAGTACCAGGCAGTCTGAAGACTCCCAATCCACTCTCTAAACGCTGGGAGGAGTGAGGAAGCAGAGAGGCACCCTTTTCACTGGCCAACAGTTAACTGGAAGTTCAAATTTTGCACTTTCCCAGCCTCCCACGTGGTTTTTTTTCAGTTCTGAACTCAAATCTAAGTATGTAAGTCAAGTCAATATTTTTCTATGAGAGTGGTTCTTAAGTCAAAATGTTCTTAACTCAAGCCGTTCTTAAGTCAAGACCCCACTGTATATTTGTTCCATCTGTGCCATTTCTTCTCCCCCGTGTATTAATACAGAACTTCAAGTCATTGTTCAATTGGTGTTTGTCCTCTTCATTGTCCATTCGTCTGTACTATTTTCTTTTATTTGCCTAGTAGAAGAGAGGGTGTTTGGGAGAGTACTTCATATTAGTTATGCACAACTGTGATTGTAAAGTCTAGGGTGAAGGCAGCTCCTTTCATGTCTGCCTTACAGGGCGGAAAAAGAACCATGTGCATATCTTCTGTGAGACATGGAACAGAGATCCGTTGCTTTCTCTGCCTTCCTTCAAATGTTCGTTGTTAAAACAAGCTGGAAATAAGAAATACGAAAAAGAGAGCTATTCATTGGTTTTTATAGCCCAGCTGTAAGTGCAGAGTTCTGGTATGACTCTGTTCTGTGGCATAGAGAAATTGCTTGGGAACAGTTTTTACTCGCCATTGGTGATGGGGAAAGTAAGTAATCATAGGCCTATGTCACTAAAATGATTTTTTTAAACAGTGTTATAGTATGGTTCTATGTAGGGTAGAGAATGGCTATTTCTGTTTCATTTACTGGCTGAAATCCTGTTGGCATAGCTCAGTGTGTGTGAGGTTAGTGATGCCGTGAGCTGTGGTCTTTTGTTGCTAATCAAAAATTTCCAACTTCTGCTCCCAGACTCCAAGGCTACCAAAATATCTCTTTCATCCTGAGGAGGCCTTTTGGGGCCTTAAGATAGGTCGGGGGTGTGTGTGTTAATCTTTAATATCTGAAAATCACTTCCACCAATTCCAGCAGCGAAACTGGCGCTAATAATTTTTGGACATTATAGACTCCTCCTCATCCTGAGTCCCCCAGAATCCCTACAGAGCTTCAGAACCGGCAAGGGTTTTTAAAGAAACCTTATTAGGAATAAAAAGTCAAAGCAAAGCTGCGGCAACAGGATTTCAGCCATTGCATCATCCTTGAGTCATTCTGCTCTGTCATTTAAGACTATGAGAGTGCTTATACTGTACTGTATGCAGTTGAGTTTACTTGTTAACAGCACACTGCTCAGTGAGATTAGTTCACAATTTAGAGGACCTTGAAATAATTTTTCATGTGAATTATGAGGGACCTTAACTTATAGCCTAATAGGGCTTTCAAGGTACATGAGATATTTAAGGAAAAGTTTTACACCCAGTTGCATACCCCCAGTGATTGTCCATGGCAGAGAAGGGGTTTGAACCCAGGCCTCCTGGTTTCAAGTCCTTCACTATCCACTGTATCATATTGGGGAGGGAATTAAATAATGTTTTTGGTCTCTGGAATTATACTTTTAAAAGTGCAATATTTCTTGTTACTTCAATACAAGGATGACCAGAATGTAAATCAGCATTTATTAGATTAGTGCTGTCCTCTGAAGATGCCGACCACAGAAACTGGCGAAATGTTAGGAAGAACAACCTTCAGAACACGGCCAAAGAGCCCGAAAAACCCACAACAACCATTAGTTTCCATAATCTTAGGGGATGGGGGATTACCAAACAACTTCCAAATAGAAGTATTCAAAATAAGCAAATTTATTTTTAATTCATGCTGAAATCAAAATTAATCTTTGTGGCAATAAGATTTTAAACCCGTAGAAATCTCAGCTACTTGATTTTACATGTAGCTCATTTGCCAAGATTATTATTTTTTCACTCATAATGTGATTTTAGTATATGTACCTAATTTTCATTTGCTAAGAAAAACTAAAAATATGCCATGATATTTTGTGTGCTATATAAATGTCTGACAAGTTTTTCCCTTAGGCAAAAATAGTTCAAGCACAATATCTAGTTATAGAGGGAGAAATTCACGTAGTGTCGTTGAAAAAGCACATTTAGTGTGATTGAAATATTCTATTTAAACAAATTCAGATTTTTTACTTGAAAATTATTTTTTGTTGAATACTAGTAAATATTTTAAAATATAATCAAGGTTCATACCTAATTTAGAGTTGAAGGGGAAAAGAGATGAAGACTGTTCACATTACTAATTTTACCATTCCTACATACATAGATGTTGTGGTTTGTAAAGATAGTGATTTGAAAAAGTAGAATCCTTGTCTTACGGAATGTCTGCAGAAAATTGAGAAGGCAGGGCATATTAGTGTGGACTTGAAGTAATTGTACTAAATTAAATTGTGTTCGAAGCAGCTAGACATGCATGTTGATTTCTCCTCAAAAATAATTCAGATTTTGCCCAATTTGATTTAAATCACAATTTAAACTTGTAGAATCAGATTTTTTGAATATTTAAAATTTTAATTGATTTAATGAGTTTTTTAAAATCATGATTTGAATTTGATTTTTTTTAAAAAAAATCATTGCTTTTTATCCACCGTCCCCATCATCTACATAACTGACATGGCAACTGCCTTCTGTTCTCTTCATCTTTAAATCTGCTAAATAATGTCCATACCTTTGTTTGGCTTCTTCATTTCAGAACTTCTAATTCTGTAGTATGTTTTAACTAGAGATGGGATGTTCGAATTCGTATCCCTGGGGATATGAATACAAATATCGGCACAATAGCTCTCTGAGGAAACTGGACTCTCCCCCCCCCCCGGACCACCAGTCCACTTACAGCTTGTGGCTGTCGTTGTTTGCGTTGCGCCAGTCATGGAAGTAGCCCGGATGGCTCTTTCCCTGCCTCAGCAGCTGAGTGGGGAGACTCATTTTCCCACCCCTTTGCCGGAGTGATTGGCTGTGCACTGGCCACTGGCCAAGTTATATCTGCGATTGGTGAGCATCAAGGAGATTGGTCAGTTCTGGAGGAAGGATCTGGTTTCCCCAGGCACCTGTGGTGCCAATATTCATATCCCTGGGGTACAAATGTCACATTCTCTAGTTTTAACCATATATTCTTATTTGTCTCCTAGGTTTTGTGGCAGTCTACTGGTCGTACTTACTGGGTCCACTGGCATATGATAGAGATTATTGGCTCTGGTGAGCCACTTGAAGATGAAGCTGCTCAAGAAAAGGCATCCAATTTAACAGAAAACCTGAAACTACCCACAGGTGAGCTTTTTAAGTACACATGCAATTCCAGTTTGTAGTATTGTTTTCTTTGCTTTTCTTACACAGATAGAATAACTTCTTAGATATTCTGCTGCAGAGAATCAAGTATGCTAATTGGGCAACGAGGTTCTAGGATAAATTAATAACTTGATATTAGGATTAAGAACTGTGGAACAGAGGAATGACAGATTTTTCTTCAGCAACACTTCTCATTTTTATCTCAAACATTGTCCTACACCTAATGACCAACAGGTGAATATTTTTTGTTGCTTACACCTTCACTGTGTTTTCCCAGACATCTTTTTTCCCATTGTACCTCAGTGCAGCCAGGACAGACTTTGAGTTTTCCATCACTGTATTGAAAGATTCATAGGATGTCCTTAGGATAGGACATATTAAGAGTTTTTCCCCTTGTCTTCCCAGCACTACCCATGGTAAAATCTCCCCCGCCCTAATTACTTTTCATGGGATGCTTCCTGATTATAGGTTGCATAGATGGCATTGGCAAAGTTGGGCTTCTTGTGCCATTGCCCATAAGATAAGAATTCCTAAGTAGACCTCCCAGCTTTAACACTGGTACAGTGCCTTTTAGCTGCACAAAACTTTAAAAAGGAAAATGGTTGTTGCGACTGATAAGTCAGTGGCAAAAACTCCAGTGTTGATAGTCAGCTCCCTGCACTGGACTATAGCCTAGTGAATGTAGAGAGCAGATCACTTGAGGAGCTTATTTTGTCAGTGTACTGTTAGCACTGCTGACGGTGGAATTATATCATAGAATAATGGGAGTTGGAAACGGCCTATAAGGCCATCAAGTCAAATCCCCTGCTCAGTGCAGGAATCCAAATTAAAGTAGATCTGACAGGTGGTTGTCCAATTATCTTATAGAATCAAGAATAATTAGTATACATAATTTGATTCATGTAGGAAACCTGTATACCAGATAGAGAACTGTGACCTCCACCTTTTCTCTGGCATGCTTTATTTATTTATTTTTTACAAAAAATTATGGGATTCGATCCAGAATCTGCATTAGGACTAAAGAGCTCCATTTGTTTGTGAGAAGCTTTAGATTTGGTGAAGAAATCCCACAGCTGGAATGGAGTATGGAACATTTTTCATCAGTTCCAAACTCCCTCATGCCAGCCCCCTCTCCTGTATGATCTAATGGTTGTGGGCATCCCCTGGAACAATGGGGAGATGGCACTGGAGACTGCAGAGGAAAGGGGAATTGATAAAAACCTCTCATCCTTGCTCTCTGCTGCTGGGAGTATTCTGAGCATTCTGTCTCCAGATAAAGAATCTGTGAATTTATTTTTTCTGTATATCAGGAGGTTCATGTTGCCTTGAATTATATTATTACTGTTGTCTTTATTTTATTATATTGTTTTTACTGTTATTATTGTTAGCCACCCAGAGTAGACTTCGATCTAGATGGGCGGGGCATAAATTGGATAAATAAATAAATTAAATAAATAAATTTTTCTGCTTGCAGTTACTCAGACCTTCTATTGCAAGCCGCTTGGGGGACTCTATTCCTTGCCATACCTGACAGATCAAACGAATGAGAATTCTGGAAACCTGAGTCGGGCTGAATGGTGGGAACTGCTCTTCTTCATTAAGAAACTAGAACAGTGTGAGCAACAGGAAGTGCTCCACTTCATCCAGCAGAACCATGAAGGGCAGGTAAGCTCTTGGAAGAAGTTTGGAATGAGAGGAAGAGAATAAATGTATTGTGGTGCTGGAGGGAGGAAGTTGTAATGGTACTTCCCATAGTTCCCACCTGCCAGATCATTGCCCCGAGCAGGAGGTCTTGCAGCCAGAAAGAACACTTTCCAAATCTTTGTTTAGGACTAGGCTGGAGGATCTCTGGAAGGGCCAAGAGCCAATTTTCCCTTTAGCCAGCAGCCCAAGAGCTGCCCCACATCCACCCAAAAGGTGCACAGCTTCCCAGTTGCTCTTTTGGCTTTTCAAATACTAATTACATCATGTTTATCTGACATTATCTTATTTCTTGGTGAAACATTATTCACTGATTTAATTTCTATTTAATACTCTTGTCCAATATCTTAACTGCTGTAACTGAATTCAGATGTCTTTAACTAGAAGTCTTCAGTTGTTGTTCCTTGGCAGATATTTATTATTTCCCTTAACGTAATTCAATAATTAGGGACTGTTTAGGCATCAAGAATCTGAAATCCTAATATGCTGCTCTCGAAAAGCTGTTACATTTTGAGGCAGATTACTTCAAGTTAAGAAATCAATGTAGACATTATCGAGTTGTACAACTCAGAGCACAAAAGGTGATGTCTGTAGTGATTTCTTAACATGAGGCAGTTCACCTCCAAACGTTACATCTTTTGCATAGCAGTGCAACAGGGTTTCAGCCAGAGAATTACAGCTTTTTAAATTCTCTTATGCCTATACAGCCCCTAATCATTGAGTCCTATAATAGGAAACTATAAACCGTGACCAGATAATTCGGAAGGAAGCTGGCTGGATTAAGTCATGGAGCGGTCATTTAAACCCAAATAATAGCAAATAAAATAAAAATGCATATTATTTTTTTCAAAAATAAAGTTAAAATAATTTTAAAGAAATGTGAAATAGCTTCTGAAAAGCCAGAAAAGTAGCTAGAAAGCTGTGCAGCTGATTTACAACATCAGATCACACTGCTGGGTGGGGCCTTATGCAGTCCACAGACCGTGTTGTGCTCATTCCAGCGTAGGATAAGGTTGGGCACTTTGGAAGAATGGGCTCTGTACAACCTTTCTACTCCTTTCACCTCACACATGTGGTTGGAACTGAGGAGCAAGAACCTGTATGTTTAATCTGTCTCTTGTTTTTCCAGATGGTGGAGTTAGATGAAGAGGCCCTGATCCAGCTCTCTATATCGGTAGAGTTGGCTCAGCAAGTGCTACAGCTCTTGAACAAGCATTGCCAGGGCTGTACCCAAACTGATCTACAGAGTTCCCATATCTATCTGAAATATTCATTTGGCAAGAGAGGAGCAGAGCATCACTGCCAAAAAGTGGTCCCTGCAAACTGTGGCAGCCTTTCGGAAGCTACGGCATCCAAAAAGCCAAAGAAAGAGTCTCTTTCTGCTGAAGTGCTTTCTCCAGCTCCAATGGTGGCAGAGAAGACTGACACACAGCAGATTAATGAGCTTCTCAAAGTGGAAGAACTTTCCCTCCCAGATACGCTGGATGAGAAAGCCAAAAGTAAGTGCTGGGTAACATCCCTGCCTTAGTTTGTTCTGGAACCAATAACCACGGGCAGATAGACTTCTTTATTTCAGAGAGATTTAGGAGAATAGAGGACTGCATTAGAATAGAAGTAATGTCATCATGTCGCTAGACAAAGAGTGCTTGAAAGGAATGGGTAGGTAAGATTGTACTAATCAGTTGTTGCCGAATCCTGGAACAGCTTTCTGCAGCATGAAGTTGATCATGAAGAGGGGTGCCTTGGAGAAGATAGGAGATGTCATAGACGTGATCCAGAAATCTGGTTCTGATGTCACACTACAGATGGCTGGACTAAGATTCATCACAAAGATCTTAGAGGATGAACCTGGTCAAGAGAGACAACTCATCAAAGTGGAAGGAGGACTTTCAGTCAGGTCAGTTCTTTTCATTCCCTGGCAATAGCTTCAGGACGCCCACTTGCAGTTCTGTACCTTGGTCAGGGAATGGGAGCAAGGTGCTGTTTTTGGTAGACCTTTGGAATAGTGACCATTTTCTTTGTTATTTTGAAATAAAGAGATTTCTGATTGTGGTGCCATTGGCTTATTCATGCTTTTACGAATTATGCTAGATGAGTGACCCCTGGAGTCATGTCTCATCTTCCTGTGCACACACACTGATTCCTTTCTTAAGAATGTAGCAAGCTAGTTTGGGAAACAAATTTAAACATCAACATACCAGAAAATATTGGGGAAACAATATGGAACACCCAACCATACAAATCGGTATCAGCAAAATCTAAAGAAATGGATGTGAAAAGTAGTCCACTTATGTCGTACCAAACTACATAAAATTAATATGGAAATACCAGAATTGTGCTGGAGAAAGTGAAGCCATAAAGGAAAGTTAGACTAGATGTGATTAGTTTGCCCGAAAGTAGAAGTATTCTGGTATGCGGTAATGAAACAAATAACAAATAAAAAATAGTTCCAAGAGAAACCTTATTATTCACACTATTTACTGGAGGAAATGAAAATGTATCAAATAAAGAATTAGTGGCAACTCTTATAGGGGCAGCATGGAATGAAATTGTCCAGTGCTGGAAAGGTGCTCCGGACCTCACTTTGCAAAGATAAAATATGAGCAGTGGTGCTGATACAGAAACTGATTAATCAGGTCAGATTGTACAGAGGGGAGATTTGAAAAGATAACTTTATGAAGATAAGTCACCTGTTGAAATTTGATATTGGGCCAAAAAAGCAACCAAGCGGGCAATGGATTGGACTGTTGGTTATTCGAAGCGACGTTAGCTAGACATAAAAATGCAGTAATGAGCCAAGGAAGAGACTATGTGAAAAGATAAAGAGATAATGTAAACAGTATGTATATATATGGAGGTATAATAGTTTATGAATAAGAAATTTACTATGTAGTAGGTATTCTGATATGCTATTTTGAATTGAATGATAAAATGAAATTTTTAAAAAAAGAAAAAGAGAGGGGGACAAAAGGGAATTTAGCAAGCTGCCTTATAAGATTTATCCATTATGATCACCATATTTATACACTGACTCAGCAGACTCTCTCCAGGGCTTCAGGCAGGATTGTTTCCTAGACCTGTCCGAAGACTAAACAAGAGAACTTCTACACGTGAAGCGTGTGCTCTGCCACAGACCTAGAGCTGAACCAGTTGGCTGTTGTATCCAAACAGCACAAGCTATTGTTTGCATGAACTGTAGTTGACTTAGTTTTATGCAGTTCAAACTGCAGACTGCTGCAGACAGAGAGGAAATGTCTATGTGCAGAAGGAAGGGTAGGAGGACACAAGTCTCACTCCTGCTCATTCAGCACCAGACACGGCTGGGTACGGTTTATGACTTGCCCATGATTTGAGTTGTATTTTAACATATGTTTACTTTTGAAAGAATAAAACAATCATATTCTAGTTGTCAGATAATGCAACTCCTATGCTTTGATAAATAATGTACCAAATAAATTGGTCTAAAGCTCCCGCTCTCTCTGCCATCTGTTGAGCTCAGTGCATATGTCTCAGATATGACCCGCTTCTGTGTCAACCTTCTGCATAGGCCAAGGGTTCTCTGCCCCATTGACTATACACCTGTAGATTAACTGGCCTTTTTGTCATCCCCAGAGAGAAAATGGTGAAGATGCTGGTGGAGCTGCTGAGCAACCAAGTGAAGGAGAAGCTGCTGGTGGCGCTGGCGCTGAGACTGCTCTATGTGTGCATGGCGAAGTATGATTGGCGTGTTCTGTTTGCCACCGAAGGTGGGGTGCGTGCCGTATTGGGCTGCATGCAGGAGTATTCCACATCAGCATTGGTGCAGCAGGCTGGCCTGGCAGTAAGTTCCTGCAGACGGTTCATGGTTCCGCCCCCAACATCTCCAGGTAGGGCTTGGGAAGAATCCTGCCTGGAACTCTGGAGAGCCATTGCCAGTCAGGACAAGAGTTTCCTGTCAGGGTACAGGATTTGAAAGATTGACATCTTTAGCTACTGACAATTGGACTGAGGGATTGGCACACAGGATTTCTGCTATTTTTTTTATTGTGTAGGCAGTTTGGCAGAGCAAAGGACTCTGAATTATGAAAACCAACAAACTTTTTAAAAATGATTCAGGTAACACATGCTATAAAAGAATAAAGTGAGTGTCATGTCGTCTTCACAAAAGGTAAATGCTTATATCAATAATACAGTGATGCCTCGCAAGACGAATTTAATTTGTTCCGCGCTAAATGTTGTCTTGCAAAAAATTTGTCTTGCAAAACATATTTTCCCATAGGAATGCATTGAAATCTAATTAATGTGTTCCTATGGGCAAAAAAAGTCAGAACAAAGTCAAATTTGGTTTTCAAATGGTTTACTAAGTGTTCTTTAAAGCCATACATATTGTGCAGATGATTTCAAAAATTTCAATAAAAAAACTTTAAACTTTTAAATATAGAAAAACATTTAAAAATCAGCAAACATGAGGCAGGAAAAAAAAAACGGAAAACATTCGTCTTGCGAAACACTGCCATAGAAACATCCGTCTTCAATCCCATTGCCAAAACCATTCGTCTTGCGAGTTTTTTTTTGTCCTGCGAGGCATTCGGCTTGCGAGGCACCACTGTACTTCTGTCTGGAAAGTTGGACTTGCTGCATCACATGTGATGCATATACCTGTCTATATGTGGGAAACTCTGCTTATATCAGTTGGCTCTCAATTAGAGATGGGCACAAACCACGAGCTCGGCAGTTAGTGGTGGTTCGTTATTTGGCAAAATGTGTTTGGCCGTTCCCAGCCCCGCCCCCCTCTAGCAGGTGCCCGCCGGAGGAGGCAGGGCTGGGAACCGCTGAACACCTGTTCTGCTGAAAAACGAACCAATGCAAACCATTGGAGTGGCGGTTTCTGCCCTTCTCTACTCTCAATCATAGGCAGGCTAGGGAGAATTGAAAGCATAGCCATCCACATGTGATCAGTGGAGCAGAAGAGAACCTGTCAGAGGCAAGGGAAATGAGAAGAAGATGAACTGGGGTTGTCGTGTCTTTCAGAAGGGCAAGATGAAGAATGAAAATATGTTGAACAAGATGGTGGACATGGTGCCATCTTGGGAAAGGGGGAATGGTTTTATTTCCATCTATCACCCTGATCCAGTTTTTGCTTTGTGTTTCTAGGCACTGACCGTACTGGTGGGTGCCGGGAATTGTGAGCTGTTCGGTAGCAGTGGGAAGTCATATTCTCTGAACCACTCGGATGCCCAGATGATCCGGGAAATTTTTGCTAGCATTGGCTCTGCTTCCAGCAAGGATTCTGACAACTTGCTCTGTGCCATCCCTGCTGCAATTGAGAAGATGTTGGACACACCTGGGTAAGTTGAAAAGAAAATGTTGGCAATATAGTGGGACATTAATAGATTAATTGAATTAGACTTGATTAAGGCTAAGGAAGGATTTTGAGACACTCCTTGTTATTGTAGTGCAGCGGTGAGTATCTTTGGTGAGTCTAGGGAATAGTTTTACTACCATCCTTCTATCGGCCACATGCCTGCTTACCGTTGGCAGAAGTCTTTTCTTCTTCTTCTGGTTGCCTGGAAACCACATCTATATTTATTTATCTAAAATATTTTTACCCTGCTTTTCTCCTTAAAAGGACCCATGGCAGCTTACATTTTTAAAAAGATAATATTTAAAAGCTAAAAACAGTAACTATACAAATATTGAAGAAGAATTAAACAAGTATCATATTATAAATTGTAAATAAAATCTATACTAAAAACACATTTTAAAGCATCAGTGCAAAACAATTCAATTTGAAAAGCCCCTCTCAGGTTGCCAGTCATTATGGAAAAGTCTGTTTGAAGAGAAAAGTCTTTGCCTGCCTGTGGAAGGACAGCAAAGATGGGGCCATTCTGGCTTCTTGTGGGAGGGAGTTCCATTGTCTGGGAGCAGCCACAGAGAAGGGCCTCTCCTGTGTATCTGTGAGCGTGGTGGGAACAAGACAAAGGCCTCTCCTGATGAGCTTAATTCCCCAGACAGGCTCATCAAAGGAGACACAGTCTTTTAGATAGTTTGGATGCAAGCCGTTCAGGGCTTTTTAGGTTAAAACAGAATTGTGCCTGGAAACCGATCTGCAGCCAGTGGAACTGTTGTAACAGAGGAGTTATATGTTCCCTATAAGCAGCCCCAGTTAACAATCTGACTGAAGCATTTTGGACTGGCTGGAATTTCTGAACATTTTCCAAAGGCAGTCCCATTGTTTAGGTAAACGGCAGTGCACGGGCTCCCAGTTCTGTGTTTCACCTACAAAACTGTAATTTTAGAGACATAGCCATGTCAGTCTGTTTCCACTGCAATCCTATGTCTGAATAACTGGATGGTAATCCACAAAAGCTCATGCTGAAATAAGTTTGCTCATCCTAACAGTGCCACAACTGTTTTTGCTTTTCATGAAAATGTGGTTTATTTATTTGCTACACTGATGTCACTGAATTCACCAGTGGTTCCGGAGTTGTGTTCAGTCTGTAGAGTGAGGAATCATTGTAGGGAAAATTTGGTTGGTATGCTTGTTTTTCAGTTCTTCTTCCTGCAACTCACTTTTAAAGCAAGTTCTTACAGGCTTTTCATGTGCTTCTGCTTGGTTTATTTGCCCTTCTAATGATTGACAATACTGTACATGTTTGGTACTTCTGTTAATTCTTTCTTCCTGCATCCTCCTGCACAGCTATGTGTGGTATTACAGATTGGAACCAGGCAGTCAGTCTTTACCACTTCTTTCCTCAGGGCCTCCTCTGCAGTGCAGAATGGGCTATTGGTGTTGAATATGCTGATCAGCAATCACAAGGGATTGGCTGAGCAGCTGGGAAACTGTGACCTCCACTCAGTCCTGCAGAAGTGCTGCAAAGCAGGCCAGAGCAACAATGAGATGTTGGCTCGGATAGTGCTCAACCGTCTGGCTGAGCATAAGTTGCCCCTGAGCCAGGAGAATTCAGGTATGGATTGCTCCAGTTCCTGATTCTTAGCCTCTCTGTGCATTTCAGTATCAGTGTGTGCAAGAGCAGAAACATCTGTTTCATTTCCATCAAATCTTGTAACACTGGGAGATGCATGATGGCAAATTCTGCAAGATCTTCTGTTCATAACCTTGTAGTACATTGGTCAAGTATATTTGTTCCTTTATCCTTTTAGAAAATGTGTGTGTGCATCTTTCAGACATAGTACTTATTCTCACAGTAGGCTGATGGTGTTGTGCTGCTCCATAAGAACCCGAGGAAACCTTGTCCTGTGATTTTTTCCCAGGACTTTTTTAGTGTGCTCAATGGGGTATGATCACGGATTCAGGTTCTCATGGCCTATTGAAGTGTTTTGATTCAGAGGAACCCTGTCCTTTTTTGCTTCCCAGAGTCTGAGACCACCTTTGAGCTCAAGGAGATGGATGTACCAACTTTACTAAGAAACCTCAGTGAGACCAGTTTCTCAAAGGAGGTGGTGCTAGCACTGGAGCGCTGGCTTTGTGATGAGGGTGTCAGCCCTGAGGGAAATGGCACCGAGCTTTTGCCAGACCGTGAGCATTTCCTCCTGCTGCTGAAAACCCTAGAGCAGCTGGGAGCTGAGAAGACTGTGCAGATGGGCATTCTGAGGTAAAATGAAAATATAAACCTGGATTGAAGCCTGTAAGAATGGCACTGAACAAGTGTAGATTGCTCTAGAGTAGAAGATGCTGCGGCATATTGTATGTAAGAACACAATGTATCTCGAGTGGCGCTTTCCCAAAGTGGATCCCCTTTGGGAGCTCCAGAGAGGAGAATTTACTAGGAAGTGATGTAACTATCTGCCCTTCCTCTAGTAACAACAGCTTGGCTTGGAGCATAGAGATAGAAGGTTGTAAGACTTGAGTAGGCCTTAGACTAAGTAAGCACAGGGCACCACAAAGATATTGTTGCAAGTTTTTACATCTGGGGAACCTGTGAATATTTCTGAAACTTTGTGGACAGTGGCTTGTTATATATATAGCCTTTTTACGCTTGAGGGATTTTCGAGAGGAAGAAGCTGCAAAGCTACCTGTAGATTGCCTGTTGAGTAACTGGAGGTGGCAGCTGAATGGCCACTGTGTAAACAGAATGCTGGACTGGACAAGCCTTGGTCTACACCAGCATGGGTCTTCATATGTTCTAGGCAGAGCACAGATGCTGAGCGGCAGTAAAGAGAGCTTGGTGTATTGTTGTGGTTTTTACCAAATTTGGGTGATCTTTAAGCAAATCTCGGAGTTCCCGGAAAGCAGTCTGTCGGTGACAGTGGGAACTGAATCCTTGCAGTGCTGAACATGACTTGTAGACTTGTAGAGGGTATTTTAAAAAGGGGGGAAAGAGGAAAGACAGGCTTGATTAAGAAAGAATGAGCCGTCAGAATGACGTTATTGCACTTGGATAGGAACCTAGGAAGTGATTAATTCAGTTTTTATAAAAGTATTTTCTTTGTTGCAGAATTTTGAATAAGTTTTTGGACAGTTCCCAAGATGACATGCTGCCTTGGCATGAGTGCATTGAGCCCTGCCTTTCTTCCATGAATGCTCACAGCAATGAGCGAGAGGTGAGAGATGAATTAATGACTGAAAGCAAGAGATTCTTATTAAAATTATTTGGAGATCAGGAGTGAACTGTCTTTGGCCTTCCAGTTGCTGCTGGATTGCAACTCTCTTCATCCCTCCCCATGGGTTGTGCTGGCTGAGCCTGCTGGGACTTGCACGCTATGTTAAGGGATGTTGCCCATCCCTTAACATAGATGAGAAATATTAGTGAGAATATTAGTAAGTTGCAGATTTGTAGTAATTGTTTGTTTGTTTAGTAGTTTGTCTCTACTAGAGTTTGGAAGCTAGATTCTGCCTCATGTTTCAGAAGCACAATGAGACATATAACCAACTCTGAAGCTATTAAGTCTGATATCTTGGATATACATGTAAATGTGTACAAGTGTATATTAGTCAATCTAGTTATACAAGATTTCTGAATAATAATTAATTTGATCCAGCCTTGTGTATAATTATTCTCTTGATCCCTAGCTATTCTATTAACTACATGTAGGACATTGCAACAAATGGCATCACCTTTGCCTTTATTTATATATTTAATGTATTTTTAAACTATGTACTAACTGAGGTTCTATGTACAGTATAAAATCCAATAAAAACAAAATACAGTAGGTTAAAATGCAATAATACTATCACTGAAGAAGCAAGATATGAAATTCAGTTAAATGCAGAGTGGAAAGTAAACCAGTGGGGAAGTTAGAGGCAACCACTTTTCAGGCAGAGAGTATATCTGAAGATGTAGGATGGAAAGGGGAATGGAACTGTGAAGCAGTGCTGTGTCCAACCCACAAGGCACTGTGTCTTTCTTACTACAGGTTGTGCAGGAGTTCATCCGTTTCTTGCATCGTCTAGCTACTACAAACAAAGATTGCGCTGTTGTGATGTCTCGGGTGGGAACAAAGGAGGCTCTGACCAAAGCTATGGACAAGCACAACTCTAATCTGTTGCTAGTTACAGAGCTCCGTGACCTTGTGACTGACTGTGAGAAATATGCCAGCTTGTATAAGAAGATGACAACCAGCATTCTGGCAGGATGCATCCAGGTGACTGGTACATTTTGAAGGGTAAATGTCTTGGGATGCCAATCTAAATAACAAGTAGAGCTTTTGCATGTGCTGTAAACAGGAGCAGGTCAAACCGCCAAGAAGCCAGCTTGGCAGAAGTTGTGCTCCTTTGAGTAATGGGATTCTGTATTCTTTAATCTATAACTGGTAGCTGCACAGAGAGGCTTGGCAAGTTCTTGACAAGTTGAGGTTACTGCAGTTGATGCGATCAAAAGCATATGCTTCTTCCTATTGATATTTAGAATTCTATTGATGCTTTTGCTTGTTCCATTGCTTCTCTTATTCCTACAGATGGTCCTGGGTCAGATTGAGGAACACAGACGTAGCCACCAGCCTATCAACATCCCCTTCTTTGATGTTTTCCTGCGCAACCTTTGCCAAGGTGACTCACTTATCTATTTATTTTAAATATTTTACTACAATTTTCTCCTTAAAATGAATCCAAGGCTGCATATATAATTAAAAGATAACATTAAGGCTAACAACAGTGAGTATACTAGTACTAAAAAAGATCAAACAAATAACATGCTGAAAAACATAAGCAACACTAAAACACATTCAAAGCAGTAAACCATAACAATCCATTAAAGAAGCCCCACTCAAACAGCCAGTCACTAAGTGAAAGCTTGCCCTGAAGAGAAAGGTCTTTGCCTGCTTGCAGGAGGACAGAAAAGATGTGGGCGGAAGTTCCAAAGTCTAGAAATAGTGACAGAGTTGGCCATCTCCCGTGTAAATTGTGAAAAAAGTGTGCTGCTTATATACCATCCCATAACACTTTTAAGTTATGGTCAGTTTACAATTTAATTTTACAGGCTACACGTTGCCCCGCTCTCGTGAGCTGGGTACCCAATCACTCAGAAGGATGGAAGGCTGAGTGAACTTTGAGCCAATTGGGATTGAACCCAGGTTATGATCAGAGTACTGCACTTTAACCACTGTGCTACAAGGCTCCTGTGTACCCACCAAACTTGGTCCTGCTACCAAATGAAGGTGGAGGGATGAAGAAAAAATCCTCTTCTGTTTATCTTAACACTTGGCTCATGAGTTTGAGAATGTAACCTAAAAGGTGGAGAACTTGTTAGTAAAAACCAGCTTTTATGTAACCTCATTAATACCAGCTCCTGATTTTTTTGATCTAGGTTCCAATGTGGAGGTGAAGGAGGACAAGTGTTGGGAGAGAGTGGAAGTATCATCCAACCCCCACCGAGCCAACAAGCTGACAGACAGGAATCCAAAGACATACTGGGAATCAAACGGCAGTACTGGCTCTCATTATATCAATGTCTATATGCACCGTGGGGTCATAGTCAGGTAAGTCCCTGGGGAAATCGATCAGAACTCTGTCAAAGCAAGTGGGACTGAGGCTTTCTTAAGCAACAGGAGGGAACGGGTTTGAGTCACAGTGCAGCTGGTATCTCTAGGATTAAAGTTAAGCTCAGCTGTCAGTTGACCAATGAGTTCCTTTTGTGGTGTGAACTATTGTGTGTGAGTGGGGAGGAGGTGTGATGGTGGGAATTGTGGCTGTTCATTGTAAGAAGCACATGTGGAATGCTTCTGCTTCTGGCTGTCAGGACAGATGGATCCTTCTGTTTTATGAGGGGTGTTGGGATTCCACCAAAGATTTGGCTTGAACACTCAAGGCACTGCTTCTCTCCTCCTTCAGGCAGATGACTTTGCTAGTAGCCAGTGAGGATTCCAGCTATATGCCAGCGCGGATTGTCGTCATGGGAGGAGAGAACACATCTAACATCACGACTGAACTCAACACAGTGAGTTCTGCCATCTTTGTCTGTATCAGTGGACTAGGCTTTGATGGAAATTCTGTGTTCATGTTACATTGCTCAGTAGCACTTATATGTTTACACAGTAAGGTAAACTATGACCATTATTCATTGGTTTTGCAAGTAACAAGGGTCAGTGCCATTACTTTTTAATGTTGCAAGCCCTTTCCCCTTAGTTTTAGTGTACTTGTTAACATTTATCTTCAGGTAAGGTGGCGAACGATCATAGACTCTTGTTCTATTTTTTTATTGGTGAATAAGGGCCCTTGGCTGCTCAGAGTAGCATAGGATCTTGTTTGTGTTTTCTTTGACAACTTCACTGCACTTCCTGGAGTGCATAGTGTCCGTTCAGCAGAAATCCAGGATGCAGCAAGCACTACAGAAAATGTGGAAGGCAACCACTCAGACTTCTTTTCAGTCTCATCACTACTGGGGAAGCATTAAAGTCCTGTACTACACTGAGCAATGGAAGGCCCTTATTTTCCAGTAAAACAGAAAACATGACACACCCTGGCATTTCATTTATTGAAGGTAAGGCCTAACTAGTGTGGAAAAAGTAACTGTGGGGAGAGGCTTCTTGCATTTCCCTTGAAAAGTAATGTTCCTTGCCCCTTAAAAGCCAGTGAGTAACCTTAATAAAATTTGTTTTTAAATATGCTAATTAATGCAGATAGAAGAATTTCTATGACTTATATTGTGATAAGGATGGAGCTACATTACTGGAGAGTTCAAGATGCCAAATTGTACTTTATCAAATGATTTCTGACTTTTTTTGCTAGTTCTGTTGAAATCTTTGTACCTGGTTATACTGTACTCAGTGTTCAGGCTTTGTCAGAGACCATTGATGCGAAGATATATTGGAAATGATGTCAGTGAACAGTGAAGATGCGATAGTGCATTTTATACTGCTGCTACCTAAGGTTGCTTTCAAAAATAACTAATGGATAAAGAAAGGTTCTTTATTTGCAAGGATAAATGTCCTGTGACTTCTTTGCTTTGTTCCAGAGTAACTTCCCCATAGAGGGACATGGTGGTGGTGCAGGTTAAACTGCAGAATCCTCTGTGCTGCAAGGTCGGAAGACCAGCAGTTGTAACATCAAATCCACGTGATGGAGTGAGCTCCCGTTACTTGTCCCAGCTCCTACCAACCTAGCAGTTCGAAAGCATGTAAAAATGCGAGTAGATAAATAGGTACGGTGGGAAGGTAACGGCATTCTGTGTCTAGTCATGCTGGCCACGTGACCATGGAAACTGTCTACAGACCAACGCTGGCTCTATGGCTTGGAAACAGGCATGAACACTGCTCCCTAGAATCAAACACGACTGGAGTAAATGTCAAATGGAACCTTTATCTTTACCTAACTTCCCCATAGAAAGGTTTTGTTTGTTTCATCTCTCAAGTGCAGAGAGTCCATTGCACATGACCTGCTGCGAAACACAGATGTTTGTTCTCTATTTTAGCACTCTTGTATCCTAGACAAATTCTGGCTGTTTTCCTTGCAGGTGAACGTTCTGCCTTCAGCCAGCAGAGTCGTTCTTCTGGAGAACATGGCCCGCTTCTGGCCCATCATACAGATCAAGATCAAGCGTTGTCAACAGGTAGGGGCATATGCTGAGCCCTACATTTGAAGATTTGAATAAATAGAAAGAAGACCTCCACAGAAGCCTCTATGAACCATCTGTTTCTGTACTTTTAAAGAGTGTAACTTGCACCATGTATCCACATATCTTGATCTCAGATTAGTGGGGTGTTTCAGAAATAATGCATTTTTTTTCCAGAAATTAACTAGAGGCATTATATTTCATACCTGGAAAACTGTGATGCTTCTGATAGTTAACAGATTCATTGCCATTCTGTTGACTAATGGAATGTACCACTAACTACTAATGGAATGTAGTTGCATGGGTGCCGGAGGATGTATTTTGTGCCACGTTAAACAAATGAATCGGTCCTGCTCAAAATGAATCGGTCCTGCTCGGACAGATTCATTTGTTGCTCAAGCTGTGTAAGCTGGTGTTGCTGTAATTTACGAACCTTTAAATTTTGTTTTCCTTTTTATGGAATAGATGCTGGAAATTAAGTAGTCTTCTATGTGTTCGTGAAGGAAATTAAGTAGTGTTCTGCTACATGACTTATACGCAGGAGGGCTGGGTTATCTATGAAAAGATAAACAGGTGCTCTGTAAAATAATGTAACATGCCAAGAGCATTTGCTTTGGTTTTTTTTTTTAATTTATTTATTTAGGAACAGGGATAGAGGGTACAAAAAGAAAGAGGGGATAGGAAAGGAAAAATGGTTTTGGGGGATAGGAGAGCATAAAGTATAACATCATCCAATCAATTCATATTACTAATACATATCAACTTTTTGCTTTTTCACAATTTGATTACCCTCCTGCTTTTATCTTATCATTTAACTTTAATTTTATTCTATGTTATTCCAACATTGTCTGGTAGCTGCTGCCATTTATACAATACATCCCATCGTTCAGTTTCTTTTTGAATTGAACAGTCTTTCAGCCCATCTGACAGAATATCCATTTTTTTCACTTCCCATATTTTCACCATAAAATTATCTGGTTTCAGTATCTCTGCCTCCTTAAGATTTTTGTCATAATGCTTTTTAATTTTGGAAGCTGCATGGGTCACTGGATAACTCTCTACTGCATTCATATTACCTGGTGTCATGTCTAATACAGACGATTCTAAAGTCTGTACAACTTCATTTAAGTTTTGTTTGGCATCTACTGTCCCCTCTTTCGTCCCTTTCATCAAATTTTCTATTTTGCTAAGACCTGCATTCACTTGCTGGAACCCTGTTAATATTAGCCTTTGTATATTAATCTGCCATTCCTTTTCTATTTCTTGCACCACTATTCCAGAACTTTGGGATTGAACAGACCAAGTCTCCATTTGTTCTTTTGAATTTTTGGGGTCCATCTCAGGCTTTGGGGTTTGTATAAATACCACAATAATCACCCCCTAGAAATCCTTCCACAGTTTCCACAAATTTATCAACAATTCAAACCCCTCATCATAAACCTCCCCTTAGATCTCCCTCCAATCTTTATCCAAATATTGTAATATAAAAATCAACTTTTAGCCCAGCAAATACAATATCAAATAGAACCGTGACACAGTTATTTCTTCTTCTCCTG